GTGAAAAACGCTGGTTAACCTACCTTGGGCTGGGCTGGGATTTCGCCAGTCACTAGAGGCAAGGGGTCAGTTGGTTTGGGTTTTTTTTCATGTATGTCAAATTGACCAGAATCTGTTATTTTCCCTGCGGGCCTGGCATAGCAGAGCTAGACCTACACAGTCAATGGGATGGTGCAACACTTGTGTTGTGTCCCACCTCCTGGGATTTTCTGCATGTTAGCTCTTTTTCGCAGTGAAAAACATGTTTTACTTGCTGCCTTGTTGCTGGGCTGGCAGCCTTGACCTCAGCCTGGAAATGGAGCTGTGTGGTCCTTGGTTCCCGCAGCCGTGCTGGGATTCCCTGCTTGCCCCGTGGTGCAGCCAGTGCCGCTGTCAATCATCCTGCACGTGCCCAGAGGTGCTGTCAATCATCCTGCACATGCCCAGAGGTGCTGTGCAGCTACACGGTGTGTTGAGAATAGAGAGGGATTAAAGACACAAGCGTGTGAAATCTTCCTCCCTGTTGTAGGATGCAGATCAGCCACAGCACTCTGATACAGGTGCCACGTAAAGCAGCGTGTAATGTCTTGTTTTCTACTTGGGGTTTAGGAACAGCTGTTGGGCCCTGGGAATGCTGAGATCTGTCAGCTCTGCCGGGAGGAAAGCAGCCGAAGCAAAAAAAAGGTAACTCCCAGGACTTGTGTTGTCATCTCTGTCCTTTTGCCAGAGGAAAGGGCTGCTTCATTGCCTCGTCCCGGTCCTGTTACACGTAGGAACTCGGTGTAGGATTTCCAGTCTTTCCCATTCCTTTGCTTTTTTGTTGAGAAAACGTGTGAGTTCAAAGCAAATGCCACAGCTTGGATACTTTTCCAAATGCACATACACATTTCAATACTCAGGCAAGGCTTGTTGTTCCAGTGCATTTATATGGCTCTAAAATACACACGTGAGCCTCTGCAGACAAAATGCTCTAGTGGCCTGAGTCGGTCACAACGCAGATGGTTCGTGATTGGTAACTCTTGCCTTCTGTACTACAAGGCTTCCTCTACTCTCATTTGACTTAAGGAGCTTTGCTATGAACTGCTCCTCAGCCCAGGAGCAAACTTAGGGTCTTGAGAGGGGAGTTGTGGAGCATCTTTCTCTAACCTGGCAGAGGGTTTGAGTTGACTGAAAGTTAATGAGAGAAAACTCGTGTTGTTTTTGTCTTAAGCATCTCCTTAATTTGTCTCCTTTCCTGCATTCCAGAACATCTGCAAGAACTGTGGCGGCATCTTCTGTGAAGCCTGTTCAGCGAATGAGCTGCCCCTCCCGTCTAGTATTAACCCCGAGCGCGTTTGCAATCCCTGCCACAAGCAGCTCATCCAGCAATATTCCACCAGTCCCTTGTAGGGGACGGGTCACAGAGAGGTGACCAAAAAATGGTTGTAGCTCATGATGGTTTCTGGAGTTGTTCGGGGGGAATGCGAAGACCCTTGCCTGTGTTCTTAGGAGGGCGGGGGGAAGCAGCTTTGTGGTGTTTACAGTCTCTTGTGACTAAAACAACAGTCTGAGCCTTCCCTGTACAAAAACCTTCCTGCTCTCAGAGCTGAGCTCGTGCTGGGGAGATCTGCTTTGGAGGTTGTCTCGCAAAGCGTCCCTGAGGTGTGCCTGAGCGGCCGCGGGGCACAGCGAGAACAGAGAGCCCCTGCCCAAAACCCCTTGTGCTTGTGCACGCCTGGCTGCGCCTGCAGGCCGGCACCGTTCTTGGCCTCAGGCGCGTGAAAGCGCGCTGCTGCCGAGCAACGGCTCACTGAAAGCAGAACGGGAGTGGTTTTAATCCTCATGTCTGGCTGCACTTGAAATACAATCTCCCCTTCCCCAGTTGCCTCTGACAATCCGGCTCAGCCGTGCTACGTCAGTGCCAGGCCTGAGAGGCCAGGTAAGATGCCCATAAACACTTTCTTTTTCTCTAGGTTCATTGTTTGGTCTCAATCCTCGGGCCGGGGGCTTGCTCTGCAGTATTGCTGCTTGCTGTCAGTATTGGAAAGTCAAGCAAAGCTGTGAAAGTTCTCCTTTGGTATTTTTAGAGGCTGGGGCGATCAGAGGGGGTTTTGAGGCGTGCACGATGCGAGAACTGGTGACCTGCACTGATCTGGCACGGAGGTGCCCGTAAGGCTTCTCCAACCTTCCCCTCAGAGACCCTCACTGTGACTTAATGACTGCACAATGGTGGCCAAAGCTAAAGGTGTCACCGTTTTTGTTATTTTGGTGTAGAAAACTGGAGGAACTGGATTCCCAACTGCTTAGATACCAAATCATCATCCTGACGCGAGGTTATGGCTGCTTCGATCCACGTCTGCCCCCTTGTGCACGTGAAAAAGTCATTGTAGTAAACCTGGCATTTCACCCTTTTTTGGTTAGATCAAAATGAAAATGGGGTGGAATTGGAATGCTTCTCACCTTCTAGAAGTTCTGATTTGAAACACAGTTTAGAGAGGTTTCACAGTTCACGCTACATCGTTCTTTGTTGATCTTACCTCGTGGGATTTTTGTTTTACTCCGAAAGCGGTGGATGCCTCCTTGTGAGGCACACAGCATGGCCTAGAGTAGAGTTCGACCTGTTTTACACTGGAAGCCTGCTTCAGTCTGTAAGACCACAGAATGTTTTGCAGTCCAAAGAGAACAGATGTATTTATATGTGACAAATGCGTTCGGTTTTGTACAAGTTTTACCAGGGGTTAGTGGCTTAATTCCTCAGAGGGGATTTTCTGTTGATTAGACTGATTGGAACCACATTAAGAAGCATGTCAGAGCTGAGGTTATTTAGGTGTTTGGTGCTAGTTTGTTTTGGAGTTACTCGTTCTAGTTCCTTCTAGGCCTCAGCATGTTCAGATGCTCAAGTTCTCCAACTCCTCTTAGCACCGTTAAGAGCTGGAGCACTTCGCCAGGGGGCAGTTTTGAATAGTTTTTCTTTTTCTGCCTTTTTTTTTTTTCCCCCCATCGTGGTAGTTACCAGATGCATTTCCTTGCTGCTCTTCCTTCAGGTAGGTAAGCAGTTGTAAAGAGTGTTGAAATACGAAAAGACGAACTCAAGTGTGGGCACGCTGCCCCCACAGGGCGAGACATCAGAGGTGAATGGAGAAGACACTGAATTTCGTGTTCATTTCAAGCTCCTGCACCCACACCCAGTGTGACTTCTCCCAAGGAGAAAGTGAGACCCAAGCCGAGACCAAGTCTCATGTGAGAGGAAGGCAGGCCCTTAATGTAAATTATTTTCAGGCTGGTAAGGTCAGAGCGAGACTGATCTCGCTCTTCCCTGGTGCCTCAGGCTCGGTGGAATGTCTCTTGGTACCTGCTGTCGCGCTTTGTGATGTTGCAAATGCTCAAGGCGCGTTTGCTCTGTACTGCTTGTAATGCTCCAGGGCGGGGTGACACCCTGTTGTTTGGGCTGGGGGGAGTGGAGGCAGTTTTTTTCCTGATGTTCATTTTGTTCCACACAATAATAAAAACTTGCTCATCCGTATCCTGCATCCTGAATGATCTTTTCTTTTGTTCACTTTTGGCTACGTGCTGTTTCGCAACTGGTAGTGGATGACAGGTGCTTACACAGATCTTGGAGGCCTGGTGAAGAGGAATGAAGTACAGGCTACACTACCCAGTGCTGACTTCTGCCTGTGAGGATTTTACATCACTCTGGTTTTGTTAATTAAGAATACTGGTGTTTTATTAATGTTTTGTACAGCGTGATGCAGCTGAAGACTAGAACTCCAGCATTTGCTGTTCTTCCAATACAGCTGCTTCTGCAACAGACTGTCCACAGTATGTCAACACAATTTATTACATGCTTTTACACAAGGCTAAATGAGGTTTTATACAATTTACCGTTGTTATTGAGCAGCGACACTCCCAGTCAGTCTTAAGGCTCATCCCCCCGGAATGTGTTCACTTTGGCCTGAAAGGAAAGGAAGAGCAAAAGGAAAAATTATCCCTGTGTTTTAGTCTAAATTACTGTCTCCAGTCATATTCTGTGATGTTGGGGAGCAGCGAACCTCAGCTCTCCCCATGAGCATTTTCCCAAGGGAGTTCATGGAAGCATTGCACGTTGGCCAGAGCCAACTAAAGGTCACAGGAAAAGTTTTTCCTGAGGGTAATGTCGTGCCTTTTATTTGTAGAGGTGGGAAACCCCTCTCTGGCAGCAGGAGGGCTGTCCTGTTACAACGTATGACTTGAGGGAGGCCACCTCCCACACACAGCTGGCAATTTTTGTCCCGTAAAATCCCCCTCAGGCTTGACACTGTGACAAATATTACGATCTATTTGCATTGAAAATGTTTAGCCATGTTTCCTATTCCATCCCAGGGAACACAACCCATCAGAACCTTGAATCAATTCCCCTAGTGGAGTTTTAAAGGGAGGAGGATAAACAACAAAAGCTCTCTCGCACACTCCAGCCGGCCTCAGCTGTGAAAGGACGAGTTGCTGTGTAGCTGGGCCGTGTCCAGGCAGCGCAGCCACCTCTGCCAGGTCAGGCTGCAACATGAGGAAGGAGCTGCTGCCTCCTCCCCACAGGACTTTGATCCCGGGGTATCTGGATTCGCAGCCTGCAGGGTCTGACCTCAGATCAGCTGTCTGTGGTGACTCTCCAGCCGCTCTCCATGGCAGCCTCTGAGCTAGTTGAAGTCCAAAGTATTAGAACCAGGAAGCCTGAGGCCCACGTTGCTAAAAAACCGAACGTCAGAGAAACACGCGCTTACCAAACCTGAGCCCGTGCCACTGTCACTAGCAGTTTTCTTTTGCCTTCGGGTGTTCATTCAGGAATAATTCAATGGCGCTGCACTCTGGGGAACAATTTGAGAGAGACAATCCGTGTTCAGTGTCACTTCAATGTGTTGTATTTTCTTTTTTTTGTGTTTTGTGCAAAACCAATGTCATATTAGAGGGTAAGCTGGAAAACTACATTTCAACTGATGCTGTCGCACAGGGTGTTAGCAGCAGCTTGACAAGCTGGGCTAAACTCCCCGCGGAGTGCGATGCCCTACACTTCACTTACGCAGCTGTGACCCGTCCTTCGCCATTGCGGCGGCGGCGTCCTCATGGCTCTCAAAATGCACATCCGCTTCTCCGGTGGCGTCTCCTTGGGAGTCGTATTCCACCGTGATCCTTGTGGGCTTCAGTGGAGCAAAAAACTGAGAAGGAGGGAAACAAACGGGAGAATTTGGTGAGAAAGAAACAACAGAACAGTAACGCACTGTGTCACAGAGAAACCTGATGTTTTTATGCGTAAGAGCTGTCAGCTGGGGTGAGGTCTGAGCTCCTGAGTAGCAAAAGTCTCCTAATTCCTGACAGGGGCAAAAATCCTCACACAGCTCACATTCATTCAAGTCACTAAGTGAGCTACAGTCACTCTCTGATGCTGTACACTAGTAATAAGTAAAATTGATATTTTGAAGTAAAATTGAAATTTAGACGATTCTAAAGCTCGTTTTTGTACTATCAGCGACGCCGAAGCCCAGTTACACTGATGAACAGCCACCTGAGTCACAGTGGCAGATGTTAACGACAGTGAAGCAAGCTTTAATCCCTTCTTATTTATGGAGGTGAGTGAAACGCTGTTGTGCCTGTGAGGCCACGGCCACCCTGGGGAGGGAGCCTGCAACCCTCAGCAAGGTCAGGTTTCCAAGGACATTCAGCCTGAGGCCAGACAGCACTGAGGACTAACACAGACACACATAAATTAAAAAACTGAAGTCACTTCATCTGTACCAATTAATCAATGGTTCACATTTGTAAGGACAATTGAATTTCATTCACAGTTTTACCGTTCCTCACATTTATAATGTCTTGGGCACTGGCTTGGGTAGGAAAACCCCTCATGTGGACAAAATGCAGCGGTGACGAGACATTCCTGGATTCTGAAACATTCCTGGAGCTTTCTGTTCCTTCCCTGCAGAATTCTGTGGAATTAAGGAAAAAAAACCAAACCAACCCATCATTAATGCTGGTGATGACCACCTCCCTCACATGAAAACGGCAGCCACAGCGGGCTGTGCTCACGGCACACCTTCATAAAATGAAGGGCCTTCAAAGAACACGCATGACAGGGATAGACTCACTATTTTCTGTTTCAGCATCGGCACCTCCTGCATTGCTCAATCTTCTTTCTTCATAAATAGATTCCTGTTCTTTTCTCACTTTGGGGTAGGTCACCATCTGCCTGTCATAAGGCATGTGCTTTTGCATATGATGTTTTCTGCTTAGGTACACTTCTATGTATCTAGAATTCAAAGGAAAAGATGACATCACACCTCTGGCACCTCCACTAAGAACCTGAGAAAGTACCTTCAGGACTTTCTCCTTATCTCAGCCTTGCTCACGCACGGGGCTTGAGAGCCACAGAACAGCAAGCAACAGTTCCTGCACTTCCCAATTTCTACAAACCCCAAATTAAAACCCCACCTGAGCCCAAAAGAGATTACCAAAGGAGGCAGACACAGAGGATGCACAAGATTTTGTTCCACTTGCGTGGAGTCCTAAGATTTTTTTACTTACGGTTATGGAACTGAGGGGATAAAACCCAACAGGGTGTAAGTGCAAGTTGTGGGCGTGATACATCAAGACATACACTACATTGAGGGACTCTTATGAAGATCCCACTTACACCACACAAAGAGAGGAAAAAAAACCCCACCACATTCCCCTGTACCTGCAGGTTTATTCTCAGTAGAAAATTATAATGCCTTGAGCTTCTAGCTGCCCAGCCCGGAACCCCTGAACTCGGAGCTGCCTGTGCTCGTTATTTCAGAGAGGTGGCGGCAGTACCAGCGTGGCCTCACCCAGATGTAAGGAGCAGTGAAACTGGTGATCCCCATGGCACGGAAGGAGTAATGTGATGAAAAGGGTAATACGGACAACCCAGGGAGGAGGCCTTCCTCCCTCCTGGAGGACAGCAGCCAGAGTAAGGGAAGTCACCCCACATAAAGGCCAACGGAACGGACAGCTCAACCCCATGCACCTACGCTTGGGCCCGTGGGGTGCTCAAGGGCACTTCTGGATAAAACGGACAGGCCGGGAAGGATGACTGAGCACAGGCTGACAGAGGGTTTGGAAAGGTGGCTCATGGCACAGAAACACGGCTGCACGAGCTCAGGGGGGCGAATCGGATCAGCTGTTGTTCAACTGTGACAAAAGAAAAATTCGTGGTAAACTGAGAGTTAGTTAATCTCTCCTGGTGAGCAGGGCGGGCTGTTAGTTAATTACTGGGCACACCTACAGAACAGCTGTTTTCTTTTAATATGGGTGGGGGAGACAAGCATGAAATGCAGAGCAGGAGGAAGGAGTAAGGAAATAAAAGACAGGAAGTAGGAAGCAGGTGGGGAAAGTGGTCAGAGCTGGAGGGGTGTTTTGGAGGGGAACCCTCAAATATGGTTTCTTGAGGAAGAAGAGCTCTGGTGGATGTGGCCACTGGAGGAGCTGAGAGTTGCCTGCTGTGGGCCAGTAGCCAATGTGGTATCGGCAAGCCGAGGGCGAGAGGTAATTTGTGCTTTGCACTGTGTCCTTGTTGTGTGGAGACCCTGGCTGTGCCTAGTGCTGGGCTGAGAGGAAGGGTGAAGGTTGCCAAAACTGCAGAAAGCACCAGGAACACGGGTGGAGGTTTGGCAGGGGGAAAGTTCTGCAGAGGGCCTGAGATCTCGGTGCACTTGTGACCAGGCAGGTTGTGTGTACCCAGTGTTACTTGCTCTCAGTGCTACGCTGAATTTGCCTGAGGAAGCAAATGCCTTCAGGAATACTTAAGAGAAACTGAGAGGTTCCCCAATTCCCCCAAATGATTAAGTGCTGAAAAAAAGTGTCCCTGGAGTGCAGAGAAGCCCACAAAAAACTTTTTTGTTTGTTTGTTTTTGTCAAAGTTTTAAAGGAGACATTGGCAGAGGAGGCAACAGTTGGGTTACACAACTATCATAACCTACCTGGTTTTAGCCATGATGCTAGTTTGACACTACTATGAGAGAAACTTAACAATGATTTGTATTGGCATCTTCATCTGAACTCTGAGCTCTAGGCTTTAAAGGTAACAAAGGCAAAAGCTTCCTGAACAATAATAATTACACAGGAAGCATGGGATGGCTGACGATCAGCTGTTCGACCTGGGCAGAAGCAAGCTGTGTCACACAGTAAGCTTCAGCCAGGCTGCCCCACCCTCCCAAACCCAGCCAAGCACCTACCGGCTGCCCATGTATTCTCGGTGCTGTAACAAGGCCTTCGCTGCCATTTCAGGGACTGCAAACTGCACAAAAGCTTCTCCTGTTCTTCTTTCTCCCCGGTAAATAAAAACTATGTCTGTTATTCTCAAACCTATGCAAGGGAAGAGAGAAAAAGGCGTTTTACCCAGGTAGGAACTCGTTCCATAGCACAGGGAGAAATCTTTTTCCTCTTCTTTTTGGTGGTTTTTGTTTGTTTTTTTTCATAAGCTACTTGGCCAGTTAAACAGTTCTGAAACAACGGCTCATGCTGGCCTACATGCCTTTCTTTCCAACTCCAATTTATTTGCTTTGTCTAAGTTAGTTTTCACAGAAGGCTGAATTACCAATCATGTGTTGAGTTGGGGCTTCAAGTAACTATGAAAATAAGAAGTCAATCCAAGTTCTAGATAACAAGGACATCCAGGCCATAAATACTCCCTGACCTGTCATATTATAGTATTTCTTTCCCATCTCATTTAAAACCCAGTCTGAATTCACTGAATTTAACCTTTTGGGCTGTTCCAGTATTTTCTCGGGGGGCCTGTAATCCGGGAAGTAGCTCTATCTGACATGAAAGAGAATACACACTGGGCGGGGCTCAGCTATTAGTTTTTGGTTTGTTTTTTCAAGAATGCTTTTGAGTATGTCTTTGCACCCTGTTACTTTCCTGAACTCCTGAGAAAATGGAAATACTTGCTCCACAATGCTGCTCTAGTTATCTTGTGGTGGTAACTGTGCTACTAGATGGCTTCAAACACAGCAAACTGCTGGTTCTCAGTTGAGAAATTTACTAATGGTGGCCTTTGCTTTTGGTTTTTTTGAGCCTTAGTAACACTAGCCTTGAGCTACAGGGCTGTGTGCTTGCCTTGGTGGAGCGGAACAAGCTGTGGGAAAGAATTGCTGCTGGTTTAGTTTACAAACTTTACCTCAAGTCCGTTTATTTTGCAAAACCTACAAGGGCTTCTTTCCTAACGAAGGCAGGCAGCAGCACCTGGATTGCTGTAGCCCTGGGTGTGGGACACGAGGGTGTGTGTGCAAAAACAGTTGTTCAGCTGAGAACTGATGTAATGAGCCAGTCATAAAAAACCTCTAACTGCTCTTAATAGCTTTAAGTGGCATCTGTGATGATGACACAGCTGTGATACCCATGCTGCTCTCTCTTGTAGTGTTGCTATCACATTTTTGTTTCTCTTAACTTTGCCATATTACGCACTGCTGGTAGCCCAATTGCAAGTGATGGGATCTAGCTTTATCTTTTTCCTTCCCCTGACCCCCCCCGAAAAGGTGCAAAAAGTCAAGGGTGCAAGAAAACCTCACAGCTAAAAGCTTGCTGAGTAAGCCTTAGTTAGTGCCAGCTGTGGGGGGACAGCAACTCCTTAGACCCTTTAAGGTGTTAAAGGCTGCAAGTACTTTTGCTTTCCTCACCCAGAGGAACAGCAGTGTAGTTCAGCATCCACGTGGGCAATGAAATCTCTTGTACTGTAAGAGCACGGAATAGGCTGAATTACCTGAAAAAAAATTCATGATATCCTCCTCAGTGGAGCTGAATGGAAGGCCTCTGAGTAGTACAACTCCATCGTTTATGGCTTGCGACTCATCCCGCAGGTTTTGTAGTAAGCCCTCGACATCACTGTCGTGCACTTCAAAAACTGCAGGGAATACAGGCACAAAACAGGTTTTCCCTCATGTTACTCAGAAGGTGGTGCTCCACAGGCATCTTTTCAAGGCAGCTTTCACCCCCCAGGAAACTTCACTGTGTTTCTAACACACATCCCATACTGTAAGGTCCTGCAATGGTGCCCTTGGCTGCACAAGCCACTTGGCTGTTCCAGCCTTTTTGACTTAATGGTGGCTTGTTGGCCACCATGCTGCGCTTCCCCAAGCTGCCCTCTTTTATTCTCTTTATCGCGAGGTTTTTTTTCCCCAGAGTTAAGTTGTGCTGCTTCAAACCCACCTTTCACGTAGCGTGGGCCCATGTACCTCAGGTGCTTTTCCAAGGCTCTCTGGACGTCTGCTTTGGACTCCAGCTCAATCAAGGCATCCCCTCTGCGTCTCCCATCCCTGTTTAAGAGGAAGTGTATGCCGTTCTCACGGTTTCGAATTCTACAGTCTAGAAATCAAGGAACACACGATACAGAAACATACGCAGCTGGATCAAACATGGGAGTCTTCTGGTCACAGGTGAAAACCAAATATTCTGTGTAGTGCTGTCCCCCCTCAGCAGTGCAAAGACTGTCTTGAAACAAAGGATAGGAAACTACTTCTAACCTAAACTTGAATCCACAATGCTTACCGCAGGGAAGGCAACTATTTGACATCCATGAGGTTCCACAGCTCTATAGCTGGAGAATATATGTTAATGTTTCTAAATTTGTTTCGGAGTTATGTGAAATCAGTAACAAATGCTGTAGCGTTTCAGCCTCGATAGCTTTGCCTGGTCTATGTTTCTTTCCCCACAGACTTTAAATTGACTTAATTTAGTTTGGCAGGTTATTAAATGGTTTAAAAACTTGTCTCTGACCATCTAGTCCACTCTGGAAGGACGCATCACAGTATTGCAGTATGGAGGGCCCAGCCCTTCAGAGCTATGCACGAGCCTATCAGTTTGGATCAGAGGGCATCTAAACTAGTAAGTAAAAACCTCTCAGTTTGTTTAAAAGTGGGGAGTTGGGAAAAAGCCAATGGCTTTTAAATGGCTTTTAAGGAACTGGTTTTGTATTGGATTGCCTTTATTGAGGAATCACTAAGGACGGAGAGGCTTGCTCCACTACATATAAAATGCCATAAGGATGAGTTTCTGGTTATTGTCTAGCAGTTTGAAGTTGATGATATGTTTTGTCTGGGTAAATGATGAATAATTTTGCAACAAGAGCAAAACCTTCTCTTCCTCTGGCTAACTGTGTCTGAGTTTTCTTTCAAGCAATCACCAACCGCCAGGTTCAGTATTGCCACAGCGCAGTTAGGCAGCAAAACGACCTCCCGTACTATCGAAAAAGGTGAGCACGTCTTCCTCGGTGCAGGAGAAGGGGAACCCTTGCGCTCTGATGAGGAAGACGTCGCTGTCGGCCTTGGGCGACTCGTTCTCCGGCTCCGAGAGCTGCCCTTCCCGGGACGGCGCATCTGTAACCTGCCCACGGCAAGAAATGGACTCAGAGCCACGCAAAG